GGACGGGCAGCCCGGGGACGGGCAGCCCGGGGACGGGCAGCCCGGGGCCCGGAGCGGCCGACGGGCAGCCCGGGGCCCGGAGCGGCCCACGGCCCCAACCCCGGCGAGGCCCAAGCCCCCGCCCGGGCCCGGCGCCCTCGGGAGGCCCAAGCCCCCGCCATGCCCCAGCCCCGACGAGGCCCAGGCCCCGGCCTGGTCCACCTCGGAGGCCTCTAGGACCCGGAGGCGCCGGCCGGCGCGCTCGGCTCCCACAAATAGACTCCTGGGCGGGCGCCTGAGCCCCAAAAATAGATCCTCAGGGCGGACGCCCGAGCCCCAAAGACAGACTCTCCGGCGGGCGCCATGGGCTCGGGAGAAGCGGGTCACCGCGGGGCCGCCTCGCCGGTACCGCCGCCTTTCGCGCGCGTCGCGCCCTCTCTCTTCCTCGGGAGCGCGCGCGCCGCGGGCGCGGGGGAGCAGCTGGCGCGCGCAGGCGTCACGCTGTGCGTCAACGTCTCCCGCCAGCAGCCCGGCCCGAGCGCGCCCGGCGTGGCCGAGCTGCGCGTGCCCGTGTTCGACGACCCGGCCGAGGACTTGCTGGCGCACCTGGAGCCCACGTGCGCCGCCATGGAAGCCGCGGTGCGCGACGGCGGCGCCTGCCTCGTCTACTGCAAGAACGGCCGCAGCCGCTCGGCCGCCGTCTGCACCGCCTACCTCATGCGGCACCGCGGCCTCAGCCTGACTCAGGCCTTCCAGGTGGGCGGGCCTCAGGGGACGGGTGTTTTGAGAGGGGCGTGTCTTCCGGGGACGGGTTTTTCGGACGGGCCGGGCTTCGGGACTGGAGTACTTCCGGGAGGGGCGTGGCTCACCCGTGGGGGCGGGCTTAGGGAAGCGGAGAGGCACTTCCGGGGTGGGCGGGGCCGCTCTTGCGGGCCGAGCCCCCCTTGGCCCTTCCTGGCCATTGGGGCGACTTGGGGTTCCTCAAGGCACCTCTTGTTTGCAGATGGTGAAGAGCGCTCGCCCGGTAGCGGAACCCAACCCGGGCTTCTGGTGTCAGCTCGAGAAGTATGAGGGGGCCCTCCAGGCGCAGTCCTGCCTGCGGGGAGCGCCCCAGCCCTAGGCGTGGGTCCTGAAGCCTGAAGACGGGGCCCCGGGGGCCTGCTGCCTGGAGGAACGCTCCTGCACCCACACAGCAGGCAGCCTTTCCCCCGTCACGCGAGCTTTCCTTTCTGTGTGCGTGAAACCATGCTTTCAATTTTATATTTCTGGCTGAGCTGAGGAACAAATTATCTTACGGATACAAAGAAATACATACGAAAAACACCGAAGACAAATTAAGAAAAGCAAAGGGGTCCTTCATTATTTACACCCAGGAATCTTGAGTATTTGGGAGTGCGGGCGCGTTCCCCCAGCCCCACCGAAGGACCCGAGCACAGACTACGGAATCAGAATCTGAGTCATAGGTGGAATCAGGAAAAGCAGCTCCTCTTGCGTTTATTTTTAGTGGTGTCATAAGAACGGACTAGTTGTTCCTGCCTGACCACAGATGCTTCTGTTTGAGAAAATGCACACCACGTGGGACGCTTCTGTCAGGAGAGCAGTTGATGCAGACACTGTTGAAGGGCAGCTTGGGTGACTGCGATTCCTGCCTTCAGCGGCCCCTCTGCAGTGGCGCTGGAGCTGTCCCACAGGAGTCAGGGCAATGATGGACACCCTTTTTCTGTTACTGGAGAACCCCAGGACATTAAGAATTTCGAAAGTGAATTCTTCTCCCATAGCTTCTGTGGTGACAGAGTATGGTGTTCCTGTAGTGACAATAAAGCCAGCTTTTTTTTTGCTCCTTTCACTAAAGCTGCTTCATCCGGGGAGGAAGCCTGGTAGGTTATATCGTGTCCATCTCTCCGGGATAACAGTGTGGCACACAGACAGCAGGGTAAGAAATAGCGTTATGCATGTTTCCGTGGGATGGCCATTCTCAATGTTCTCCAGTAAATTGGGGTCATCACAGGACTTGGATGGAAGGTGTTGCATTGTAAATTACACTGGCAATGATACACTTCTTTTGTTTGTTTTTTGAATTGGCGTTTCACTCTTATAACCCAGGCTGGAGTACAACGGTGCGATCTCAGCTTACTGCAACCTCTGCCTCCCAGTTCAAGTAATTTTCCTGCTTCAGCCTCCCAAGTAGCTGGGATTACAGGCACCCACGACCACACCCGGCTTTTTTATTTACTTCGGTAGAGCCAGGGTTTCATCATGTTGGCCAGGCTTGTCTTGAACTCCTGACCTCAGGTGATCCACCCATCTTGGCCTCCCAAAGTGCTAGGATTACAGGTTTGAGCCACTGTGCCCAGCCTGTATACTTCTTAAGTGTCTTAATATTGCAAGTAAGGGTTCCTGTTTTATCAGAAAATAGATATCTTACCAGCCCAGGTTCTTCACTGAGATTGAATGTGCTGGCCATGGTGTAGACACTATTTACTTTATAATGCACATCATCCCAGCTTATAAACTAGGCCTGAATATATTTCACAGTTTTCATAGTGAGCAGCAGACTAATGGGGACGAGGTTCTGTAACAAGGTGATGAACACCAGTATGTCAAACATGGTGCTGTGAGCTGGGATCCCCTTTTGGGTACCAAATGTCACCATACTTTTTATTCCATAACGCAGCTCCCAGGCAGCTCAGCAAGGACATGATCAGAGCCGCAGGAACAAAAGGGAGACCTGCACGTTGGTTACTTTCTCAGCCTCTGATCTCTTGAGAGGCGATTTGACAGAATTCTGCAGGAATTTAGTTTCAAATCCAGTGCAAACAACTACACCAGGGAACCACAGTATTTCTAAGCTGTTACCTCTTAACCAGACCTGCTCAGCCCCAATGGGAACAGGGCTTTTACCACTTAGGCTCACGCTAAGCTACTGAAATGACGCTGAGACGCTTCACAGTCTCTTTTTCCAGGTAGGCCTAAAAACTGGTTTTCTGTTTACATTTCAGCTGTTTCTGGGAAAGCCTGCTGTGCCTTACATTTGTCTGTCTCTCCATCCAGATCAGATGTTGCTGTATGAGCACACTGACTGAGGCTCACGGAAGGCATCAGTACCGTGTCTGCAGGAAGGAACTCCCCATTCGAGGCCTTCACAGTGTCACCCACATTCAGCTCTTTGTGCTTAATCGTGTGCCATCAATCCTAACACTTTTGTGTTCTTTTGTTAACTATTTTGTCTGCCATATGTCATTTATAATCTATAACCTCTTTGATGCCTGAAGTCCTAAGGATCAAAGGCAAGAGAGTTGTAAATTTTCCCATTGGAGACACATCTGGAACTTGCCGCAGTTAAGTAATAAGAAGAAAGCATTGGCAGCTTTGGTAAAATGCAGATACAAAAACCAAGGGAGAAATGAGCACACAGTGGACTTGGCTGTGCATACAGTCATTGAGTGTGGGTTACAGAAGCTTCTCCAAGCCGCATCAGCACTTCGACTCAGTTGTCAGTAGTGTAACAGCAATCAAAACTGAAACTGCTCCAGATGCCTCTCCAGGAAGTATGTTTCTCCATCCTTCCTACTGCTTTCTTCACAAGAGAATCCTCCACCTTGGTAGCCGGCTGAAAGGCCCAGTCCATGGTCCTGCCACCAGCGCCGGGGCTGCGCTCAGCTCTGTGGTCCCGCTGGGCCGAGGCTGCCCGCGGCGTGCCCGCCTCCACACTGAGTTTTCATTTTTCACAGTTAAGCCCCATCTTCCTGAAATGCAGCTCAAGAGGGTCTCTGTCCCCTCTTGATGGTGGTGCAGGGGTCTCTGCCTCAGACCCCAGACCATCCGCTCTGTCCTCTTCCCTCTGGTCAGCTCGGCTTATTAAACTGTCTCTGGTCAGGAAAATCTAAACCACTTAAGGAACTGTAGGCAGAGAGAAACTGAATGCAGGAAGAAGGCTGGGGAGCCAAGCACAGGAGAGGGGGCATAGGGGCCTCACAGGGCCCTGCCACCCAGATCCCCACTGCCTGACGTCCTGGCTCTGGAGGACGCCCGATGCTCTCAGCAGAGCCTCCTGCCCACCAGCTGCTGAAGCCGCAGTGTGCCCCCTCCCTCCCACCTCCCGGACCTCTCACCAGTGTCAGCTTAGCACTGAACACGGGATGCCCCTGCTGTGACAGGCCAGGGAGAAGGAGGCTGTGCTGACAGCCCATGAGGGCACCCTGGGGGTTTCAGCATTTGCACCCCTCCTACTCTGACGTGTTTCACCAACATTGCATGCCAACCTAAAGTCACATAGCCACCGTCAAGCCAATAACGTGCTGGGTCTCCTCCCCCGACCATGTGAGGGTGGAGCCTGGAAGCCAGCATGGAGGCATCCCAGCAGACTGATTCCTCCTCTAATTCAGACGCAACCTCTCCTGGGCATCCTGTGGCCTAAAGACTGTCCTATAATCAACCCTCCTCAGATCAGATGGTAGGAAAGAGAATGAAAATGTGTGTAATACACACGAGTCACAGCGTAGCCACTGGTTAACATATACAAATATGTGTGTGTACATCTGTAAGTGGCCACTGTGGGAGGCACTTCCCACCTGCCTTTTCAGATACTCTTTGCATGCTCCCCTCAGCTAGTGCCCCAGCTGCCTGTGGCCTTCACCTGGTGATGTGACTCGACCCTTCATTTTAAGGCCCCAGGCCCTGTGTGGCTGCCCGCACAGGTGCTGTGGTCTCTGTCACCTGTACCACACCACCAGGGAGAAGGAGAAGACACAAACCTTCCTGGACCCCAAGCCTCACAAAGCCCCATGCCCGCCAGAGCCAGCCCTGTGTTGTCTCATCCTTGTGTGGCTGGGCTGCATCTGAGCCACGCTCCCAGTGAGACCCAGTTGTGTTCCTAAGCAAAAGGATCCCACCTGGGGACCTGGAACCCATCCCAAGCTGGGGTGGGGGATGGGAAGCACAAGTTTTGTGAGCCAGGCATTGGGGTGGTTATGAGAGGGGCCTTCTCCCTCCCCATGCTTTGTGCACCTGGGCCTCAAGCGTATGCCACACCTTGTCGGTCACTGCCCCTCTATGCCCAGTGTCCCCAGTCAGCACCACCCATCGCTGCTGACCTCGGACCCCTCATAAGCTGCTGCCCGGGGCAGCCCCCGTCCCTGTGCAGGGCTTGCCTGCCACTGGGCTCTCCAGATAAGCTCCTCATGACCCGCACCACCTTTGCATCAGCCAGGAAGGAGGCACTGCCAGTCCCCACGAGCAAGGGAGGAACTGGGCCTGGGGTTCCCTTATGTGCTGTGGCTCAGCCCTGCTCACGGCACCCTGATGAAAACCTTGCCTCAGGGCAGGGCACACCCTTTACCTGCTGATCTGGCCCAAGTGACAAGCGTATAAGGGCATCAGGGCCCCAGCCAGAGGACATCTTTTTATCCCACCAGCTCCGTCTGAGAACTGGTAGCTTGCTGGGCCTCGGGTGCATCAAGGAAGGCTGGGGTGCAGGCGCCTCGCATCCACTTCACTGTGCCGATCCCCAAAAGGCTGGAGTATGGAAACTCATGTGGGAGAAACCCAGGACGGGCAGCCCCGACGTCCAGGCTCCTGTCCTGGGGTTGGAGAAGTCTGGAGGTGCCCGCCGCCTGGGCCTGGCTGCAGCGCAGCCTCCCTCCGCCAGGGTGCGCCAGGCAGGCGGGGGCGGGGCTGGCGCTGGGGGGCGGGGCCGGGCCTCCGGGGCGGGGCGGGCGGGAGAGGCGCCCCGCGGCTCAGTTGCAGACCCCGCCCCCTCGGCTCAGCCGCGCCTCCGGCTCCGTGGGGTGCAGAAGGGCAGCTCCTCACAAACTGCCCGTCGGGACGCGCTCCTCCGGACCCCCGGGGAGGAAGTACCACAGTAACTCTGGACTCCTGTGTGCAGAACTGTCGGCGGAGAGATGCCCAGGGCGAGGCCCCAGGCTCTGCCCCCCCCCGCCCCCGAGTCCACTGCGGGGGCTCAGGGTGGCAAGACACCAAGCTCCCTTCGACTTGCCCCCCAGGCGGCCAGGCCCGGCTCGTGTGGCACCGCGTGTGCCGAGCTGATGCTCTTCCAGCCAGGAACGCGGCTTGGTGGGCTCTGGAGAGCCCCGTAGAACTGGGGGTGCCGTCGAAAACAGCCTGCCCTTGGCACTGCAGGGCCCCAGGGGGCAGGGCGCTGGGGGCAGTGAGGAGGGTCCCACCCCAGTTGTCTTCCCTGTCAGCCTTGGATGCAAGGCTGATCCCCACCTCTGAGGCTGCGGAAGCCTCGGGGTTCCCGGTGAGTTTGGGATGGGTGCTCCAAGAGCGCGGCCGTGTCCCTGCCCGAGAGGGCACGTGGGGACCCGAGGTCCTGCGGGGAAACTGGAATGGTGCCCCAGTGCTCTGTCCCGCAAACGTGAACGCGCACTCTGCCTCAGCCTTCCTTCCCGCCCCCCGGAAGGAGGGTGGACACGAGGGTTACACATGGGGAGCCCGAGCCCAGGCACAGGGCTGACGCTGAGTCACGTGCGGTACCTGAGCCCCGCCCTGCACTGCCACACCTCAACGGAACGGAGGAGGGGTGCGGGGTTCCTGGGCAGTGCCCCAGCCCCAGAAGCCCCTTGTCCCTAGGAATTCCTGACAACAGCGACATCGTGGTGGCCCCTGTCATTCCACAGCCTCAACACTCACCGCTGGGAGCTCACCAGCTGCTTCTGCAGGGCGAGCAGCCCCTCCCTCGGGGCTCGGGCTCCTGGAAAGGCTCAGCCTTGGGCAGCCTTCGCCGAGTCAGCAGAGAATGGGGCTGGGAAGGATGGACCTGGTGGGTGGCGTGGGGACACGCAGGCCAGGCCCTCGTTCGTACCCCAGCACCGGGCTCCCAAATGA